AGAAACTTTCCGGCAGCGCTCACCCGTCGGCCAAAAATGGAAAAACAAGAATTGAGACGGGGCTGCCTTCACACCGCCAGCTGGAAGCAGGCACGCACCCAGCCAGCACTGCTGGCAGCCCCACTGCAAAGGATTTGCCATAGAGCTGTGGGGCTGCCCCTCGTCTCTCCCCCCTCCTTTTTTTTTTTTTTTTTTAAGGCAGTGCAACCTGAAGAAAGCCAAGACTGCACGAAAGAGGAGAGCATGAGAAGTACCGAGCAGACAGGAATGCCATTACTGTTTTATTGGTCGCAAATACCAGGGCTGCACCTTTTATCTCCTCGTCCCGCCGCGATCTCGCACCCGACGCACCATGAGGAAAGGATCACGGATCAGACAAGACCCAAACTCGAGGTTCAAACCATACAGAAAGTTGGCTCTGATGGCCCCAATACCAGCCACTGGGAGCCCCTGCAGCCCCACAGGGCGATGAGGCCACCAAAACAGCTTTCCCTTCACCACCAATGCAACAGGGGAAAGCAAGAGACTGATCCCAAAAGCACTCCGGGGGACCAAGCTCCCAATGTCACCTTCCATTGGGACACACGGAGAGCAGGAGGAAGGGATGCAATCCTTACTCCCAACAGAACCAAGACTTGGGGTGTTGCTTCTTTCCCCATTTGGAACACTCAAACACAAGCTTCTCCCCACTCCCAGCCCTAAAAGCCACCTGCATTGGCCACCTGAACCTCCAAGAGACCACGAGCCCAAAGCATACAAGCACAGCCCGATGGCATCACCACCACAAGGCCAAAGCTCCCCAAACCCCCAACAAATCCCACCTGCCTCCATTTCCCACCCAGCCCCATCCCAGCATCCAACCCCACACACCGGGCTGGGGGCCCGGCAGCCCCAGGTGCAGCCTAAAAAACCCAACCAAACAAATGTTTTGTGCTTAGAGAGGTCTGTTTGAACAGGATTAGTTTTTAACTCCACATTAAACAACATTTCAAAAAGAAGGGGGGGGTTGGGGGAGCAGCATTCGGGCTTCATGTGAACTGTCTGCATGGGAATTGCTCCCTGTTTATCCCAGACAACACCTTCTATTTCCAAACGCTCCTAAAATCCGGTTGCTTCACCTTTTCCTTCACTTTTTCTAAGCCAAACACAGTCCAAAACAAAAATAAGGCCACTTCCCAGAGCCGGTTCCCATTTAACAAGAGGGCATTTTCCAAGGCTAAGTCTGAAAATCACGGTGCATGCGGGGATCCTTCTGCAGGGGTTTTTAAACCCTTATTTGCAATATGATTTCTTCTGCTCCGTGCTGCCTTGATGTTCCAGCAGCCTTCGGAGAGACGCAGCCGCTGCTCCTCCCTGCAGGCACAGCTTTGCTTTGAGGAGGAGGAGGAGGGGGGGGGAAATAAAAGCCGAGCAAAGAAGGAAACGTCAGAAAGCAGCTCTTCGTGTGCGTGTCAAACGTTCAAAGTTATTCCGGAGTCTCCGTGTAATAAAATACAGCAACTCCTGACAAAATCAATTAGAATAAAACCACCCGGGCTGCCTCCCCTACTGCTTTGTAACTGGGCTGAAATGAGAGCCAAGCTGGGCCTGGGTGAGAGCAATGAGGGAACTGCCAGCACTGACCCCACAAACTGCCCCGAGCATCCCTCAGCACCACAAACAGAGGATAGGATGGGGAGATGTGCTGGGGATGGGATCCACGCAGCAGCATTAATGAGAGCCTCATCAGGTGATTGAGGTCCTGGGGAACAGCCCTGCAGCCCCGTAGGGCTCTGCAGTGACGCGAGGTGTCCCAGCTGCACAGAGGAGCCAGGCTCACACACGGCATTGCTAACCCTTAGCCAACAGCAGGAGAGATGCATCATAAAGGCTCCCGGGATATGTATGATAGGAGGTCTGGGATATTCATCACACGGGGCCTCAGCTTATTTACAGCAAGAGCAACGCAGCGATTCCAACTTCAAGAGCCTAAAGGGAATCCCTGCTCACGCAGCACGATGTGCTGGGACACTTTGGGACAGCCCAGGACCACAGGCAGCCCCCACCCCGCTCCACAGACACCTCCACACCCTGCTTGGTTTTTAACCACCAATCCGGCACGTGGGGATCCATCCCTGCACCCAGGGATAACAACAAAAAGGGGTTTTTGACCCATTTCTCCATCAGTTTTCACTTTTTGCCCACCAGATGTGGGCGGGATGAAGGCAGGGCGTATTTTCCAGTGAAACATTTGGATTGCCCCCTCATTTTATTTTATTTTTTCCTTCAACAGGAGCAAAATGCCAACCATAATATTTGCAAGGAATAACTAAAATTCTGTGGCTTTCTCCCCCACTCTCCTTTATATAAATAAAATGCCCCAAACACGAGGAGCACAGATGCTCTCTCCTGCCCAGCAGGACAACACAGAGTAAATTCAGGGACCCTCCAAGGGTTTATTTCACCCTCGCAGCCGAGATTCTGATAAAGACAACAATTCCTTCCTGGCTCCTTTTGCATGTGTCAGTCAGGAGAGGTCGAGCCCTGCGCTCGGACAGCCCTGAGTGTGTCTGTTCTTCATCTCCTGATCCCACAGGGACCTCAGCACCGTTCAGCATCCCCCAGACAGGGGCACGGTGATGCTCACTGGGACGCTCACCCAGGCAGTGACACCGTGTCCATCGATCCTATTTTTCATTTCCTTCCCTATGGGTTTTCCCATCAGCTACAAGGAGCAGAATGAGGGGGACTGCACACAGGTGTGGGTTCCCACTGACCCAACCCAGCACCTTCCACCTCCTTGGGGGCAAAGAGAAGGAAGCAATGTAGGGATTGCAACAGCCACGGTGAGCCACGTTTTTACTCAGACATTTGGGAAAAGGCTGCTGCCCAAAGCACCAAACTCTGCTACTTTCACACCCATCACCAACCCAACCTGGCTGCAGCTGTAGAACAGTGGACATCGGGGGCTGCAGAGATGCCTGGGGATGTGGAGCCCTGGCAGGAGCCTCTGCCCAGCGTCTGCCAGCCGCTGCTGAGGTGAGCAGCAAAACGAGATCCTACTATTAAAAGTGCCCGGTGCTGGCCATGTTTCCACCCATGACATAAGCGGGGTTATCTGAGTCTAACCAAGGGCAGGGCTTGGCCACGAGCCCCCGTGCCGTTATCCTTTTTAGGCCAAACTGAGTTGAGATTTTGATGGGGCCACGCAGTACCAGAGCCTGCTTTTGACCCCCAGCTGCTCCAGGAAGGCACCAAGCATCCGAGCTCGGCTATTTTTTGCCCATTTCTCCCAGCCATCGCCCTGCCAGAGCACCCCAGTGCCATGCAAACAGGAGTGGGCCCCTCTCCATCCCCCATTTCAGGGCTCAGCACAGGCTCCACGCGCTCCTTGCTCTCTCGAGCTGCCCACAAGCTCTGGGGCTCTGCTGGTCCCCAAGCTCACAGCGAGACCCAACTCTCCCCTTTCAATCTCAGCCCTTAGAGCCAAAGCTGAGGTTTTCAGCAACGTGTGACCAAAGGCCAGCGGATAAAGTTGGAGAGGCTTTCCTGCAGCAAACCCCCAACCATGCACTTCCATCAACCGCAAGCCGCATTTTCCCCATAACTTTGCATTTCTTGCTTACAGTGTGTCCCCCCATGCTCCACCACCGTGTCCCCCTCACCTCCCTCCCCACCACACACACACTGCGTTTAGAACTGAGCAGACCAACCCGTTGTTTTTCACTCACACCAGCATGCAAACCCTCTGCCAGACAGCAGCAAGGTGACACACACTGCTTCCCCCCCCCCCTCCAACATGACTAACACCACGGCATGCTACCAGCATCCACAGCGAGCTGGGCTCCCCAGGAAAACACACGCACATCACCAGGGCCTAATCCTGATCACCCCACTCAGGGTCCCTCACCCACACTAAAGGAAAAGCCAGAACTTTGGGCAGCCAGCCTCACTCTTAAACCAACAGCGTGGGCACAGATGGACACTATTTGAGGGGTACATGACCCTGCATCTATCTGCTGACCCTATAAAAGGACTGGGTGTTTTTTGGTTTGTTTTTTTTTTGGGGGAGAGGGGGGACAGGAACATGCAGGGAGATGCTTTCAGCCCCAGCACCAACTTGGGAGCAAGCAGAGCAGCAGAACTCTGCTATCAGCACAGAGCACTGCACAACCGTGATTCTGGGGGCATTTCGGTAAAAACAAAACCCAAACAACCCCTTTCCCCCCCCCCCCCCCCTCCCCCCCCCCCCCCCCCCCCCCCCCTCCGTTCCCAAAGCCCCAGCACTGATTTAAAACCCCAGCACTGATTTAAAGCCCCGCCGGCCGCGCTGCGCGGTGGCAGCGATGCGGGCTCGGCCCCAATTCCTCCTCCCAGGGCTCGGCGCCAGGCGACTTCGCTAAAAGTTTGTTCTTCCCCCTCCCCGAGCCCTGAGCTCTGCAATATCGCTTCTGCTGAACGCCAGACGCAGGGAGGCATTCGCCCTTAACAAGCCAAGACTTGACTCCAGCACCGAAACGATGGCAAACTCCAGCTGGAAAGAGGGTTGAAAATGGAACTAAAGAGAGGAGGAAAAGAGAGGGGGGGAATATAATAAAGAGAGAAACGGAGAGAGGAAAGCAACAGCCGAGGCAGCGCTCTGCCAGCCTCCTCCCCCCCAACCCCCCCCCCCGCAGCACCGAGACCGGGCAACGAGGGGCTTCCCCGTTTGAAAATACCGCTTGCGCCGCTTCGCAACACAATAATAATAATAATAACAACAATAATACAAATCCAACCCGAGAGCTCAGAAAAGCACAAAGTCGGCAGCCGGATGGAGGGAGGGGTGGGGGGGGGTGGGGAGGGGGAACTGCCCCCGGCGTTCCCCGAGAAGGGGCGCAGCGCATCCCGGCGCCGGGCGGGGGGAGGCGGCAGCTCCGGAGGCTGTTTGCGCTCTTTTCTATTTTCTGTATTCCTCCCTCCTCCTCCTCCTCCTTCTCCTCCGCTGTAGGAACGAAGCAGCAGCTCGGAACCCAACTCACCCAGTGGCAGGAAGTGTTTGGTGTCCATCGCTGGTGCTTAACTCATGCCAAGGGGCTCGGTGGAGAGCGGCGGCGGAGGCGAAAAACACACACACACAGCGCGCACAGGGGAGGAGGAGAGCGAAATCAAAGCGAAAGGGGAGAGGGAGGGGGGAAGGGA